TGCTTGTTCCTGTCCGTGAGAAATTATATATCTATATATATATGTGTGTGTGTGTCTGTGTGTTAATGATGAATGAACCTACGTATCTCTATCTGCCTAGCTACATATCGATATATCTATCATCTACATGCATAGATACCTGTATGTATGTATACATCTACATATGTATGTATAATATATGTATTTGATGTGTCTATATATGTGTGTATATATATATAGGCATAAATTTTTGTAAACATACATACGTATATACATATATATATATATATAAATACACTATACAAATAACCAAGTCTTAGCATCTGGTAACTTTGGTGCACGCATCTTTCGAGCAAGAAATGCTTGGGAAACTTAAAATGCACATCTTCCATTCCTCGCCAAAACTGGGTCATGTTTTTTTGCAGACCTCCATTTACATTACAACATTACATTACATTACATTACGTTACATTACATTACATTGCGTTACATTACATTACATTACATTGCGTTACATACATTACATTACATTGCGTTACATTACATTACATTGCGTTCCACTCCATTCCATTCCATTCCATTACATTACATTACATTGGACTAGAATGGACTAGATGAGGTTACATTGAATAGGTTACATTACATTAGGTTACATTACATGAGACTGGATTAGATTGCCTTAGGTTACATTCCATTACATTAGATTAAATTGCATTGCATGACGTTAGATTAGATTGCATTGCATTACTTACATTACATTGCATTGCGCTGCATTACATTCACAACACTCACAGTGAATATCATGTTGTATATGCGCGTGCGTGGGCATGCGAACGCGTGGTCACAAATGAAACCCAGCGGGATGGACGCAGCGGGGTTTGAGCCCGATGGGGGGGTCAAAGATCGACATGAAAGATCACAGAAGCTGCATCCAGTCTGTCCCCAATTCATTCCTAAAGAAGATCCAACTCCAGCTAGCAAGCTAGCTTTCGTGAAAAGAAAACCCGGTGTTTTGCTTGAAGTTCAAAGAAGTTCTAGGGTTTCACTACCTGCAAAATCCGCAAAATATGCAATGCTGCGATGCGCAACGAAGCGCAATGCGCAATGATGCGCGATCAAAACAGCATCGAGTGATGCGCCTCAGCGAGATTTCCTGGTAGCCTCGCGAGTGCTTCTTTCTTCGCCTCAAGCCTTGGCCGCATGGCCATCTTGGCATTCTATCCATTTTTGAATCAATAGAATCAATATAAAATATGTATATAATATATTTGTTCACATATAATGTACATATATATATATATATTAATATGAATCTATCACACATCTTCGCACATTCTGCACCAATTTCCACACTAGTCGAATCCCTTTCGAAGCCGATTGGAATCCTTTTGAGCTCTTGCGAGGTTCAGTTCCTTCCAGGATCTCAGTGCAGAAATGCCAAGGGGCTGCTCTTGATATTCACTGAAATCCGGAGAAACCTGCGCAGAGCCCGTTGCACGGGGTAGACTCAGTAGACTTCGCTCTTTTTTCGCATGGTCTACAATTCAAAGATGTTCAAACTCACTGGTAGTGCACTTGCAGAAAGATCTTTCAGTGCAAAGAAAATGTACACACAATACGACGCAAATCAACACAATACAACACATGCACTTGTTTAGAACATAAATAAGTCCATAGTTTCGCACCAAAAAACTTGTATGTGTGAATAGGGTTGCACACACTTAACTCGGAACCCAATCCCATGATGCTTTCGACAATTCTGTTGCCGCCACATTCCGACCGAAGGATGCCATGGCAGTGCCATTGTGCCACGTCCGTCACGGTCCGTCACGCAATGCTTGCAGTGCCACGAAGTGCCACGTGCCACGCAGTGCCTCATACTTCCTGGCAAAGTATCTCTTTCTCAAGGCAAGGACCTGCCAAGGACTCACGGACGAGCGAAGGGAAAGGAGAAATCTAGAGAACAGAGATCGAGATCTAGAAGAGATCTAGAAGAGATCTAGACTGATCGAATGAAGTGCGGAGTTAAAACACAAACGGATTGCAGCACCATAAAAAGATCTGTCAGAAAAATATTTAAAAATATAACAGCTGGGGAAGCAGAAGGACAGCGCTCCGAGACCGGGTAAAAATGGACAGGTTTCAGCGGAATCAAATGTGGTTTCCTTTGTCCCTTAGCTATCCTTAGCTGCCAAAATGCTATCCAAGAGAATGTAAAGAACCAAGAGAGCAGAAGGCTTGAGGGCTGACGACACGCAACGGTCGACGGAGCCTGGAGCATCAGCAAGTCGGCAATCAGAGGCGCCACTGTTAGCAAAGTGCCGGCTGTTGAAGCCTTGAGACTCGAGCTCGAGCGCCCGACTGCTACAGGCCTGGAATACCTGGAATGCTTAGACTATGACTCTTTTGTCAAGTGGCTATCATGGAAACTGAAGAAACCGCAAGAAATAAAATACATCAGCTGAAAGGGTGTGCAAACCTCAAGTGGCACACGGAACTTGTTACAAAGGCGCCTTCATCACAAGTTTGATGACTGAAAGACGATGACCAACTCCAACAGTTCGAATAAAAATACGCACCTCAGCAACTCAGCAACCGTTCCCCATCCCAGAGCTCGCAGATTTCGTGCAGATTTCATACCGCTTTTCATGCCTCTCTATTTTGGCATTCTGGGCAGCGGCTTCGTACTTGTATGAGCAAAGCTAGGGCTGTGTGTGGGTGTGCTTCGTTGTTTTCTGAAAGGGTATCTCAATCTGGTCAAGCGTTTTACTCGATGTGGAGTTTCTTCTTCAATTTGTTTTCAAAATGTTCACTGAATAAAACACAATTGGTTTGAAAATGTTATACAAAATCTTTGGTTTCTTTAAGTTTCTTTGTGCTGTTCGATCTCTATCTTGACCATCACTGGTACCCCACGGCGACAGAGTTGGGAGCGGCTTTACCACCAGGTTGCATCCATATTCCTCCATAAAAGGCGTAAAAGCCATTGGTTACTCTTGGTGACTCGAATCACAAATCATTTGTGATTTCATTGATCTCATCATTTGTGATCTCATCGTTGATCTGATTTCACATGTCTTATCATCCATTTTGCCGGTACTTTTTGGGTAGCGCTTCTACGTTTTATGATCTTTTCTGCACCTTTGAGTTCAGCACTCCATTCACCTTCTTCAAATAACGTTCATCATCCTCAGCAGGGACTGGAATACAGAAATATACAGAATATAATTAAAAAGAGACAACAAATGTAAACCCAACAGCCACTTCGGGTAGAGCATGGTAGAAAATGGTAGAGCGACAGACCGTTGTGCTGTCTAAATACTTTTCGGATAACAATCCACTATGAATAAATGATCTGTTAAGACAAAAACATAGAGAAAGAAATGTACTCCGCAAGTTGCAGTACATTGTCACAATTTCGGTTTCACGGATTTGCTTAGTAACTTGATGTAACTTGCATCACAAGAACTGTAGTTGTTTGTATTGTTTGCACATGTATCAACTGTCTTTCCGGCGAGTTGCAAAAATCTTCAATCTTGCATCAGTTCTTGATCCAGCTAAATGTACTCGTATCAATTCTCATACTATGTCTATCTAAGAATCTATATCGTTAGAAAAAACATCGATCGATCACTCTGTAAACGTAAATTAAAATGAACAGAAAAGACTTGCATTATGAAACATTATCAATTATGAAACATTTATCAATGCAAAATTCATGCGACTCTGCAGACTCGGAGCGGCTGACGCGCCAAACATCGGTGTCATCTTCCACTTCGTCACTTCGTCACTTCGGCTCCGCACATTCTCTCCGCACAAAGTGAGATACTTTTCTGATCTTTTCTGCATAGATAATGATAGAAACAGCAGATGCGTTTAGAAAAGAAGAGTCTGACTGAAGGGAACTTTAAAAAAATACAGTATATGCCGAGAACAGCCAAAGGGAATGATGGAACACCCACAGGGAACACCCAAAGAGAACGCCCGACTGGTCACATGTTTCGGTCATCCGTTCAGTTGGGGCAGAATCGCTTCACTCGGGACCCATAGAGTTTGATGTTTGATGCCACAACGAAATCATCTCAGACAGCTGAGAGTGTACTGTGTTGTGTGTGTTTATGTTTGTGCCGCTTGCAATACACAGAGATACCTGTGGCACTGACAGATGATTACGTGCAGCTAACAACAGCAACAGAAACAGCAACAACGACGACGACGTACGACGAACGACAACAAGAACGACAGCAGCAGTCGAGATACCAAAACCGTCGAGCAGTGGAAGAGACTTGCAACTCGATTCTCGCGATTCTCTTCTCATTTTTTCTTGACGTGAATGAATGAGTACAAAGCTCGGAAAAAGAAAAATAAACTTAAAACAATCAAACTCGTTAGTCAGAACTTGCAAAAACTTGAAGCAAGTTTCTCAACTTGGACGGTGCTTGGGTAACAATAGCTTGATGGCGGAAGCGGATGAAAAGTGGCCAGGTGCAAGGAAAGAGATTGGAATCAGATTGGCATAGCTTGTTCGACACTTTTTCGTATCAAATCACTTGATCACTTATCTTCCAGCTGAGGCGAGGAGATCATTTCATCTCAAAATGCAAAGAGAAAACTAAAATGAAATGAGTTTTGTCTGCCTCTTGGTGCTGCTTTTCATATTCCAATCCTTCCAATGTTTTGCTCAAGTAAATCAACGTCAGACAAAGCAAGATACCGAAAGAAATCACTAGTCAGGATTTCAGCGGCAACCCATGCATGATCCTCACATTTCCTATTGAGGGCAGGACTGAAATGTACTCTGCATCGTCAAAGAAGTAGCCAAACCTCAGCGCGCAAGAGCTGGCCCACAGGAGCAGAAAGAACGCAATTCTAGTGTCCACACCCACATAGAGATGTTCAGATAGTACCAGATAGTATCAGATAGCATCAGATAGTATCAGATAGTATCAGATATTCATGCTATGGCTGCTATGGTGTCTCAAGCATCCAAGATAATATGGGACGGCATGGGGCTGGGGTTCTCACTGTGCTTCATCAAACAAAGTGTCCAAACGACGCACCTTGACCTGTGCCAGATACATCGCCAACAAAGCTGCGAAGGCAAGAATAACCGGGCAAGGAAGAAAGCTAAATAGGGCAGGATGCCTTTAGCAAGATGCAGCAAGATGCAGCAAGTTTCTGCAAGATCAGCCTAGAAACCCCTCATTCCCTAGTCAGGCTAGGTTCGTGTCACGGGGCACAACTTCTCCCACAAGCATACATAAGACTTTGAATGATTGTTCATCCTGCTCCGACACGTTGCAAGTAAATCGAATAAGTCGAATAAGTGCGATCAAGAGGCTTCAGGCTTGCATTTGTCATTGTTTATGTGGCAGTTCCACAAGAACTGCACCTGCTCCCAAGAGAGTGATTGCATTTGTACTGGCTCACCTTCTAAACTAAACTCTTTTACTGCACGTGCCTCCTCTGTAAGGAAGCTGGGGGCAACAGGATTCGGGAGCATTTGTTGTTCGTTGGCTTTAAGACGATGCACGAATGACAACTGAAAATTGTGAAATTCCTATGACTTCAGATTCTTCAGATTTCGGATGAATTCAGATGCTAAATCCACCCACCTCGATGGCAGCTCCCAACTTGGAAATCTCCTAGGAACGCAAAGGGATAGCGAGCCATGGGAAGCCGTGGGGGTTCAAAAAGGCTATAGCCTGACGTCAACACAGGCTAACATAGGCTATATGTATCTATATGTGATATTATGATATAAAATTATTATGTGATTGTATACTTACGGGTACTTGTGACGTCAAGGCAACGGCTCCGATGGACACAGCCATCTCCAAAATGATCCAACAAAAGAACTGCAACGAGCAAAAGAAATGAGCACTTGAGCAGATTTGAGCACTTGAGATTCTTAAGATGTTGATAATGATAGGATGTCACGGGGTCCAAGGTCTGTTTCTTTTTGCTTCAGAATCCACGTTTTAAGTTGAACCAAATTCAGTCAGAACTCATCAAAACACCCAATCCATTGTGAAAATCACATAAAACTACACCAGGGTACGATTAATAAAGACGCGAAGCAAGAAATAGCAACACAAGGCAATGGTCCTCTCTGGTATGTCTCACTCACTTCAAACATGTTCAACCGATGCTGACGCGGCTGCTTACCCAGCCACTTCAGTCCTCAAACCGCACAGGCGTTGGCTCACAGAGCAGGAGCAAGTCTCGAACAGTGAAGAGATTGTACCCAGGTTCTGGATACCTCACGATGTGGCATCATGGGTGGAAAAGCTGTTTCCAACAGGCAATAAGTTTTTCAAGAAACTTTTGATGAGCAGTTCTTACAAGAACATAATTGGGATGTGAGGACACAAAGTGCAACGAAGTCTGAAACGCGCGGCTCAAATGCAAAAAACACTGATGTCTGTGAACTTTGGTTCCGCTTCAACCAAGCCCGGCGAAGGATTTCGATAGATGTGCACAAATACTGGAATTCGCTCCACATCTTCTGTGGACAGTTTGCTTGGTTCTGGCTCAAGAAATCGTAAAGAATCTTAAGCAACTGGAAATTGCGGGGATCACTTCCTTCCTTCCTTTTCTTTCCATTTCCATTTCCATTTCCTTCCCCAGCTTGTTTCAGATCTTTTCGCCAAGCTGCGCATGGTCTGTCTCAGTGGACCAAATCTTCGCAGGAGCCATGCCTACAAACCTGCGAAGAGATGCTGCACCAAACAGCACTCAGCATGACCACTTGTGAGCTGGCAGCCACTGGCTGATATTAACATGGCATTTGGATATGTATCTGGCTGGTTTGTTTCTGATAGAGGAGACCGAAAGGAAAACATGGCAACCCATTGATGCAGAAGTATAATGGCACAGCTATGACGGCTGTGACCAAACCTCAGCGACGGAAGTCGCAAGAATGTAATAAGATTGCAGTATTGGAGTAGAGCCAGGTTGAAATCCAAGCCAATTCCGAATTTCCATGGAATAACTCGGAATAACTCTTATAGCTCTTGATTCTTCCTTGTCTCGGAATTTACCCCGGTCAGCATCTACACATTCCAATTTCTCTGAACAGTCAAAAATATAGATCCATAGCAATTTCGCATATCTTCTCAGGTTTTTGCCTTCAACTCACAGCCGCTCGGCGCCAAGCAACTGGATCGAGCTCTTCACCCAAATGGCCAGGTCTGCCACAGCATCCAATTCGTAGGTCTCATCTGCATCCTGAACACGGTAGAGCACAGGGACCACACAGATGGGTCAAAGTGCATCAATGATGGATCTGACGTAGAGGATAGCCCTTGGATGTTAACATGTCTTACGCCAAAGCAGGTGTTTTTTTACGCCAAAGCAGGTTTCCTTTTGTGCTTCTGCTCCTCGGCGTTTCAGCGGAAACAGCTTCTGGATTTGTGATGCAAAAGGAGTTTGCCTTCAATTGGTTGGTGTCTTTGACCAGGCCTGAAGTTATATCAGGACATCACACGAGCGCCAGACGGTGTCGGATTCCGTTCACTCTAAGTCCGAATCCTTCACCGAACAGAAAGACAGCTCAGCGCCTACGCTTTCCAGGTGCACAGTCAAACAAGGGAATCCAACGAAGCTGATATTATGATATCAATGATGTGCTGCTTTTGAAGAGCGAAAACATCACCCTGGAAAATAGTCAATTGTTTATCACGTTTAAAATCTTAGTTTTTTTGAACAAGTTTGTTCATAGAGTCAAATTGAGCCATAAAACATATGAAAACATGTAAAAATCTGCTAAGAATTTGCTCAGATCTGAATTTGGCTCGCTGGAGACTGGCAAGACCCTGGAAAGCGGATTCCCTGTCCATGGGACCCGGTTTCTGGCCCCTGCCTGACCTATGTGATCTCATGCTCTTCATTTTCTGCCAGGGCATATTTGCCAAGCCATGTGACAAGCCATGTGAAACGGGTTCACACTTGACAAATAGTAGGCTAAAATCCAGCCTTTAGGAAGGCTGGAGCTTGTTTTTTGATATGTTTAGTGCTTTTTATGTCGTGTTTCTGCTTCTAAAACGGAATGCGATTTTGTGATGGGCAGACTGGCAAACACAGTCGTTTGCACTGCAACAAGCTGTAACGAGAGAGAAAACATAAGGTTGCGAAGCCTGTGATTCTGTGCTTCATGGCTGTGACAGGTGTGTCACGAAACTTTGAAAATCGGTGCGAAAAAGGCTTGGCAAAAATGTTTTTTGTCTGAGATGATCATCTGCTTTCAACATCATAATTTTCTTCCCAGTCTGCGATGCTTCACATGACTGTTTTCCCAGAACCCTTGTCCCGGTGGGGAAACAAACTTAAAAACAAAAACAAACCATGTAAGGTGACAAAACTAAATTGGCAGGCAGCGTATCAATGAAGATTACAAGGTGATTTGGACAAATGCCCCAATGTATTAATTTGCTCTCTGGGGCCTGACAGGTTTGGAACTGGGACAACTGGTCTGTTTGGCACTGATTGATATCTCAGCATCTGGAATTAAAATGACTAAAATCAACTAAATATAACTAAATACAGATACAGTACAAATGGTCTGTTTCCCTCTCGTGTACACTGCTGGTGCAATTGTCTAAACTGCATCTTCATCCCCAGCAATTGGTTGCTTCAATTCGCTCTTGTGTGAGCATGCGTCAGCCTTTGAGGTCAGAAAATTGCTAAGCATACCACTAAGAGCACCGCGAGGACTCGTGCTATCTGCAATTTCAGGGGGCCTGCGAAACTGAAGGTAATCTGCCTCAGCAACGATAACAGGTGACACAGCAGCGCTTCGCACACCCTGTTGCCTCTCTCCCTCTCCCTATGGCGCCTGCCACCATGGCGACAATAAAAAGCACCACGAAATGGACATTGACAACAATGATAGCATATGATTGCTGACAGCCAACACTATTCTTGGTGCCTTGCACATCCTGCCACAGTACTTCTGGCTTAAATTCCATCAATTTTACCAGATTTCCGCTTCGTGCCGCACATAAACCATATAAGTTTATCGTAGTGACTGCAACTCCAGAATTCTTTACATTTCCTTACCCTCACCGCAGTTTTTCCCGGCCCATGTGACGAGATCCCGGCTGATCCTGCACGCCCGGAAGCTGTGGAGAAGGTCTCTCAACACCAGCTGAACCTCGGCCGCTTGTGCCGGTGCTTGGCCTCGGCCTCGCCGGCCCAGATCTTTTGAAACATCTCCTTCCCTCCATCTTTCCCTCCATCTTTCCCTCCCCCCGTGGCCCGTGCAGCACTTGTGTCCACTGCAGTGGAAACATCCTGAAAATTGTTTGGACCATCTTGGACCCTGACTGTAGGCATCTTTCCACGTGGCATTCCACACCTCCTGGACCCTCTGAATAAACTCCTGAGCTTTAGGCGGGGGATTTTCAAAGTCCACATGACATGCACCCAACACTCCAAAGCTTCACACCTAGGTGCAAAGAACCGAAAAAAAAAAGGCAAGGCAACACGTAGCCATGCGAAGAATACTCACAACAGCACACGCATTAAACCGCTAGTGCGACACTCAGCTCTCGTTAGTATAGATTCAATTTGATTCAATCAAGTACTTGAAACACCTGAGGCACTTGAAACACTTGAAACAGTTGAAGCACTTGAAGCACTTGCTCTGGTGACCATGTCTGAGCTCTGGGCATCAGGGTTTTCCTGCTGAGAAGGGTAGACTGGTGCTGAAACTGAAGACACCTTAGGCACTGCCGAGATCCAGCAGAGTGCCCCAGAAACGCGCCCAACAAACACGATATAAACGGGTGCCAGTAGAGCCCATGCAAGCGGAGTGACAGAAGTTTCGAAGGGGGGGAAGCTTTCAAAGAAAATGGAAAGCCTATAGGAACGCAGCCTGACCGACTGGTTGTCGCGGCCGTTCACTGTCTCTTGGGGCTCTTTCTCTTTGACACTTCTTTCTCCCGGCATCCTTTTCTGACGATGCCACTTTCTCTTGATCTGGTTTGCGCTTGTCATCTCTGAATCTTGACAGTTCCTCCTGTTGACATCTCTGGGGTCCGAGACCTGCCACACACTCTTCTCTCCTGACAATGTTGTTCTGATGCCATCGCTGGTTCTTGACACCGATGTCTTTTCAGCCGCTTTGCGTTGACGTCTCTTTCTCTTGGCATCCCTATCTTTTGGCATCTCTTTTTCTTGAGACTTGAGACCTTCTTCTCTTGAGATTCTCTTCTCTCGAAATCACATTCTCTTGACTAGGTTTTCTCATGACACCATGTTTCTCGCACCCTTTATTTTCACAACGTTTTTCTTTGAGGCATCTTTCTGTTAAAATTGTTTTCCCTTGAGGCCTTCTGTCTTGACTGCTTTGTCTTGAAGCGGCGTTACATTTTCATGGTTTTCTTTTTCATTGTTTTCCTCCTGGCATCCCTTTTCTCTTGGCTTTCCCGGTACTGCTTTGCACTACACAGTTTGCACAAAGACTTGCACAACGTACTTCCGAATACTACTTTGTACTACAGACTTGCGCGAAGTACTTCCCAGTGCTACTCGGTTGTACAAAGTTTGCGCAAAGTACTTCAAAGTACCACTTTGTACTACAAAGTTTGCACAAAGTACTCCCCAGTGCCACTCCGCACTGCAAGACCCAGTACTACTCGTATTACAAAGTTTGCACAAAGTACTTCACAGTGCTACTTTGTCCTTTTAGTACTTTCCAGTATTGCTTTGTTGAAGGATGTATAGAAATCAAACCTCCGACAATATGGACAGATTGAAAAGCAGAGGTGGAAAGAGTCAGAGAAGAGAAAGTGAGACGGAAGAAGATCAGAGAAGAGAAAGAATCGGAAGAAAGAAGATGCAGGTGCGCGAAAAGGTAGAAAAGTCGCGCAACACGTGTTTTTCCAATGTGTTGTGGCTCCGGAGGGTGGAAAAGTAGGCTCGCTACACCCCGGTCACTGCCTCGCAAATCACAATAGGATTGCGTCAACGTCAACCAAGACAGCAAACACGAACATGAAGCAGCCATTACAGTGCGATCTGCACCCCTGAATTCAACTTCACAATGTGGGACGCGGCCGGGCGCGAGTTGCACCCGTCGCACAAACAAGGTTTCCCACATGGCTGCGGGGACGCACCTTGTGCAGAAATCAATGAAAAACAGAGAGTTTCGTGCGATTCTTAACCTTCAAACATCAGCTTGACGAAGCAATTCGAATGCGAACTGCCATCACTGCCTTGCAAACAACAATACAATCGCGTGGTGTGGTGATGCGGTGATGCAGTGATGTGATGTGGTGGTGTGGTGATGTGAGAATGCGGTGATGCGGTGATGCTGTGATGTGGTGACTTGGTGATGTGGTGATGTGAGGTGTGGTAATGTGGTAATGTGGTGATGTGGTGATGCGGTGATGTGAGAATGTGGTGATGTGGTGATGTGAGGATGCGGTGATGTTGTGATAGTGGTGATAGTGGTGATAGTGGTGATAGCAGTGATAATGTTGATAGTGGTGATTACTCCCCTTCACTTTTTGAAAATCCATAAAACGAAGTTTAGACTTCTGAACTTGCTTTGACAAACAAGAGCAATGTCCAGTTCTCAAGAGATAGATTCATGATGATTCATGAGACATACTGCACATGTCTTCAATTGTTACAAGAAGGTATCGGGCAGGAAAAGAAAAAATGTTGAAGTGGGCCCAAGATGGGTAAAGGAAAGAACTGCCTGAATGTGAAACGTTAAGCACTTGACAATCTTGACATGCCTTTCATGTCCAATGTTTCACTATGTTTCACCACTCGGCTTGACTCGGAGCTTCTGACAGCTCCATAGCTTCACAAGGCCACCAGACACATTTCGTTCCACAGCCAACGACGCAGACTTTCTCTGCCATGACGAACTCTTTGTTCGTGGTGATGACCTTAATCACTCTACAATTCACTTTACAATTACAATCGCAAACGAAGAGAAGAAGAGAAAGATGAGAAAGCAAGGGGAAAACAAAAGGAAGAAACGAGGAAACTGTTGGGAGATCGCTGGCCAAGCCCAGTTGTGCTCGCGCTCAGGTTGGCCCTCTCAGGTCAGAAGAGTCAGAAGAGTTCAACTTCTATCTGACAGGTTACGGCCTCGCATTAAATTGGTCTCTGCCGCGTGCTCAACAAATGATGGATTTGAGATGATTGGAGGTTTGCGAATCCTGGGGGGATGTCCATGCGTGACCCAGGGCTGGCATCCTCTACCTGACAAGTAAAACAACAAAACATGGAGAGCAGCCAGTGCCTGCGCGGAATGACCTTTTTCAAATCGCAAACAGGCACCGGGGACTGCTTGCACTTGGTAGCCGAAGAAATGGCTCTTCACAGGTTCAGGGCTCTAAGAGCATGAAGTTCCTAGAAAGCTATTCGGCCACAAAGCGTTTGATTTATGTTCCTATTGCACATGCCAAATTCAGGATTTCTTGCTTCAGACAGAAACTCGAAAATAGCATCGGAGTAAACGCTCTTCAAACCCGATGTAGAACTGCTCTTTGGCAGTTTTG